GGGATTCGAACCCGCCACCTTAGGTGTATGTGGCTGGCGCCTCAGCCGGTTGAGCTATAGGCGCCAAGCCTGTGCTTCTGTTTTTATTGCAATGTAAGGTTTCCTGAAGATAGTTTTTAAGTAAATGTTCACTATTTCTTCAGAAGTAGCTCTGTCTACCCATATGTATCTGGTGGATGGTGCCTTGTTTCTCTGCCAGATGATTTTCTTGCCATTTAGCTTGACCCAAACTGCTCAGTCCAGCAGTTGCAGGACAACATGCAGTGTTGGGACAGCCTGGTGGAATGTGAGCAAAGCAGATAGCTGTGAAACTCAAGGAGGCCACCAGTTAGAAAGTTTCAGGTTGTCTTTTCTGTTTTGTGAGGAGTTAGCAATGCCTCATTCAAGGCTATAGCGACTATTCAGAAGGTACTTGGTAGTTTTTGGATGGTCTTGTGTAAGCAGTAGCAGGTAAAAGAGTTAGCATGTCCTGTGGTTACCAGGGAGTTGGGTCCAGCAATTGGGGAAAAAGAAGAGCCAGGGGCCACCAGGGCCATGTTCAGGCTGCCCACATGATGCCAGCTCCTGGGCAGTGGTTTAAGCCTGGAAGCTGGACTGGGGGCAGGGGATGAGCTCTAGGAAGAGAGCAAAGCACCCCCCCCATTAGCCCCACCCACAGGGGAAGGAGGTCAGAAACTCTGAAGAACTGTGGGTTAGAGCTGCAGGTGGCCAGAATGGCTTGGTGCTGTTGGGAGAGGGACCCAGGCAGGCTGGGCAAGGTTTGTTCTAGACCTGTTATTGGCCAAGTTTGTTTTAAAAATGTCTTATTTGGCCAGGGATTATGGCTCACACCTATAATCCTAACATTCTGGGAGGCCAAAATGGGTGGATTCCTTGAGCTCAGGAGTTCGTGACCAGCCTCAGCAGGAGTGAGACCCCATCTCTACTAAAAAATAGACAAACTAGTCAGGCATAGTGATGCCTGTAGTCCCAGCTACTTGGGAGGCTGAGGCAAGAAAATCACTTAAGCCTAAGAGTTTGAGGTTGCTATGAGCCATGATACCACGGCACTCTAGCCCATAGTGACAAAGTAAGACTCTGGTTTTTTTTTTATTTACAGGGTTTTACCCTTAGAAGCAGTTTTCCTTCAACCCTTAGGAGAACACATGGTGATGTTGGCATCTCTGAGCTAAAACCATGAGTGAGTTTCGGATTCATCACGATGTCTACGAGCTGCTCAGCTTGCTGCGTGTCCATGGTGGGGATGGGGCTGAGGTCTACATTGACCTGTTGCAGAAGAACAGGACCCCGTATGTCACAACCACGGTCTCAGCCCACAGTGCCAAGGTGAGCATCTGCCCTGGGGCAGGGCCATGTGTGGTATAGGGGGGCATCCATCTCCTGGCAGCCTCAGCAGGGCAGCAGTGACAGCAGGCATGTGGCCCTTATCAAAGTTTCTCCTATGGTGTGTGCTCCATGGTGACTCTGCTCAGTCCTCAAAAGGAGAACTGGCTCTTATCTATCTGTAGCCAACGGGGAGGGAGATTCATGACACATGGGCATCCCTGTGGATGAAAAAGAACACTACTGGTATTAACCACTTTGAAATACCTTTTGAATATTATTTCTGTAGTTAAAATAATATGTACTTCAAAGTCACAGATCGGCTCAGCACCTGTAGCTCAGCAGCTAGGGTGCCAGCCACATACACCAGAGCTGGCAGGTTTGAATCCAGCTTGGGCCTGCCAAACAGTAATGACAACTGCAACCAAAAAATAGCTGGGTGTTGTGGCAGGCACCTATAGTCCCAGCTGCTTGGGAGACTGAGGCAGTAGAATCGCTTAAGCCCAAGAGTTTGAGGTTGCTGTGAGCTGTGACACCACAGCACTCTACCAAGGGCAACAAAGTGAGACTCTGTCCAAAAAAAAAAAAAAAAATCACAGATCTTTAGTAAAAGATGATTTTTGAATTTGAACTATATCTTTTAAAACACAGCATGCTCTGAATGTGGTAGCTCGCTCCTGTAATTCCTGCACTTTGGGAGGCAAAGGCAGGAGGATCACTTGAGGCCAGGAATTGAAGACTAGTCTGGGAGACATAGCAAGACCCTGTTTCTGAGAAAAAAAAATTTTAATTAGCCGGACATGGTGGCAGGCACTTGTAGTTCCACCTACTCAGGAGGCTGAGGCAGGAGGATGGCTTGAGCCCAGGAGTTTGAGGGTGCTGTGAGCTGGGCTGACACCATGGCATTCCAGTCTGAGTGAGAAAGTGAGACTTGGCTCAAAAAATAAATAAATACACATAATGTAGCTTCAGTTATTTAGCAGGCAATGGCACAAGGGTGATCAAGGGTGATTGGATGGAGTAACTGAGTGTAAATATAGTTATATTTAGCTTATTATAAAAAGAACATTGTAAATCATTGAATTAAACACTTCTGAGCCTGTACATAGTAATAAATTCCAGAGGGAATAGCGTTGTTTTTTTTGTTTTTTTTGTTTTGAGACAGAGTCTCAAGCTGTAGCCCTAGGTAGAGAGTGCTATGGCATCACAGCTTACAGCAACCTCCAACACCTGAGCTCAAGCGAGTCTCCCGCCTCCACTTCCCAAGTAGCTGGGATATAGGCGCCCGCCATAACACTGGGCTATTTTTTGGTTGCAGCCATCATTGTTGTTTGGTGGGCCCAGGCTGGACTCAAACCCGCCAGCTCAAGTGTATGTGGCTGGTGCCTTAGCTGCCTGAGCCACAGGCGCTGAGCTGGGGAATAGCGTTAAATGCATAAATGGACATATAAATTACTAGGAAGAAATGTAAGTGACATCTGATCCAAGGCTTAAGTAGCATAAAAGAGAAATTGTAGAAGAAAACATGGATAGGTTTTACAAAATGTTTAAGTGATTTTTGGGGGGTCTATTTCAGAGATACGTAATTATTGAGACTACCTAGTTTAACTCTATTTTGGCTTTGCGTTTAATTTTCTTGAAGTTTTCTTGTGAAGTGCTAGATTAATCATTGACATTGAATTACTTATGTTTGTGCTTTTAAGGTTAAAATTGCAGAGTTTTCTCGTACCCCAGAAGACTTTCTAAAGAAATACGATGAACTCAAATCTAAAAATACAAGGAACCTTGACCCACTGGTGTACCTATTGTCAAAACTTACGGAGGACAAAGAGGTAAGTGCCTGTGCTGGCCCTCGCGCCACACCTGCCTGGGCAGGCAGGAGAGGACATTGTCTTAGTGTCTCTGGAAGGTGGTGGCACATGTTCCGATGGAGCCTGTGCCACAGAGTGTGTCCTATGATGCCCCTCCTGCCTGCTCTCACTCCTGCACTCCTCGACTGGTCCCAGCCTCCTGTTAGAAACACTTGGAGGGGCTCGGCACCTGTGGCTCAAGTGGCTAAAGTGCCAGCCACATACACCTAAGGTGGCAGGTTCGAATCCAGCCTGGGCCGGTCAAACAACAATCATGGCTGCAACCAAAAAATAGCCAGACATTGTGGTGGGTGCCTGTGGTCCCAGCTGCTTGGGAGGCGGAGGCAGGAGACTCGCTTGAGCCCAGGAGTTGGAGGTTGCTGTGAGCTGTGATGCCATGGCACTTTACCCAGGGGGACAGCTTGAGGCTCTGTCTCAAAAAACAAACAAACAAATAAAAAAAGAAAGAAAGAAACACTTGGAGGTTGCTAGGCATATATTCAGAATGAGAAGTAACTCTGATGGGTGTCAATATGGGAAGTATCAACAGTCGTGACCTCAGGCTGGGCAGTCCACTTTTCCAGGGAATGCTGGGTTTCTTCCTATTGCATGTTACTTTGAGATTAAGAAAAGTACATATCTGGGTGGAGTTGTCCACCAGTGATGTGTTAGAAGTAAAGGGTGCAACTGTGTGCTTCTGGATCCCCAGCACAGATAGAGAAACGTGGTTGGTGCAGCCAGGGGACCTGAGGGTATAGTGCAGAGTGAAGTTTGCTTCTGGCAGCAGGGTTGGGGATTGACTTTCAAAGGAGACTGAGGTCCCTTCCCTTGTGTTTTTGAGATAGGACAGGTTAGGGTTAGGGTGTGAAGCACATGGAGACCATCCATAGCTACTGAGCCGATATAGAGCCCTCATGTCCTTTGTTTGGTGGTTGGAATTAGAAAAGAAGGAAGGGGTGGCGCATGTGGCTCAAAGGAATAGGCTGCTGGTCCCATATGCCAGAGGTGGTAGGTTCAAACCCAGCCCTGGCCAAAAACTGCAAAAAATAAAGAAAGAAAAGAAAAGAAGGAAGGCTACCTATTCTGATGAGACACACCCAGGCTGGACTGGGATGAACACACAGCTTTGTGTATTTTCAGACTCTGCAGTACTTACAGCAGAATGCAAAGGAGAGAGCTGAGCTCGCAGCTGCTGCGTTGGGCAGCACTGCTGGCTTCAGCATCCCTGCAGCAGCTTCCAAGATCTCCATGCAGGAGCTCGAAGAGCTGAGGAAACAGCTTGGCAGTGTGGCCACAGGATCCACGTTGCAGCAGGTACTGTGTCCCATGCATGTGCCAATGGATGGACGTGTTTCTCTGCCACTTACTAAAAATGAATTTTTTTTTTTTTTTTTTTTGAGACAGAGCCTCAAGCTGT